AGATGATGTCCAGTATGGGACCAATTGTGGCCAATAATTGCAACCCAAGTGTTCCCTCCACTCAAGACTCAGTGATGTGGCCATCGATGCCATCAAATGATAGCAATTATAGAGTTAACGATAATTTGAATTCATTTAAAATCCTGAAGAGACCCGTGAATATGGATAGGAATAGGGAGAGGGATAGTGTGTGCACTTCAGGCAACGACTCGAACCAAAACCAGACAATTATCACTCTGGAGGACAACACGAGAACACAATACGTACCACAGGTTAGGATATTGAAGAGACCTAATGCTAACTCTAAGGACACCAGCGATCAGACGCTTACAAGCAATAGAAAGTCAACGAATGGTAACAAAAGTCAAACTAATAATAAGACATATGAAGAACGAGAGGCCGAGTACGCGAAGGCCAGACTCAGAATCCTTGGCAGCGCTTCGGCACCTGAAGAGGACACCACTTCGACGCAAAGCACATCAATGGCCGCTACATCTGCTGCTGCCGTCAGTAGTGGTACTAAAACGAAGACATCGCCCGAAAGCCGATCAACAAAATTAGGTTTACTTAACAATACTAATGAATTAAATACTGTTCCCATCATTCGGTTACCGCTCGGACCCGACGGCACCAAAGGATTCAGTGGACACAGTCTTCACAGTCCTCAACATAGGTAGCGGTCCTCTCATTAGACAAATTCAAATGTCTTCTTACAATTGGATTCTTTAAACATTTGATGGATTTTTATTGAACATAAGTTTATATTAAAAACAATTATATTATATATGGTTTCAATTCATTGGTGTCAACCATTAGAATCATTGAAACGACTATTTTATTGAATAACTGGCCATTTAGTTTGTATTATAAAATAATATTAATTCAATTTGTTCGTTTTATTATTATTATTATTATTATTAACTTTAAGTTTACAAATATTTTCATTTCACTCTCTTACAAAATATTAACATATTTATGTAAAGGTTAATTATCTTAGAATTAGTAAAACTTAATTTTAAAACCAAT